CCGTATGAATGTGGCACCCGAACCTAATCCAGAATTTTACTAAATGAAGACTGAAAAAGGATATAGGTGTACTAACTAACGCGTAATGCGTATGCCGTTTACACCAAAATTATGATTTCCATGTGTTCTATAAATCTCCACTCGTAAATATTTCAGAACGGCATTAGGAAGGACTCGAATTCTATGGTAATCCATGAGGCACCTGCAACCACCTCGTCCTAATTGGTATCATTGTAATAAATCCCTGATAACTACCTACTAGCTATCTTCATAAAACATAAGCTCTGGGTTTTCCTTCGAGGGTCATCTTGTTGCTGTATTTTATGTATAGTGCGGGGCACAGTTTTAACGTAGGTATTGTTTTTGGATCACTTGAAAATCTCGGTTAACATTACGCTTTGGGCAAGTTTTCAACTACATTTATTTATATCGATCGGTGCCCAAGCAAATTAATATGGTTAAGTAATGAAATATGTCACTACAAAAATTATAATGATCTGATATATGCGTTTACCTTATTAAACGGTTAAATTTAGTAATCAACTAATGAAGTTTCCTAATAGTTTTTTTGTTGTTGTATAGCTTGAGTAAGACGAACGGGACATCATTTACCTGAGTGGCTACCGATAAACATGCAAACCGCATTCTGCCCCCTTTCAGCCACCTACTTTGCAGTGATGCACGTGAATTAGTGATATTAAAGCCATTTTCATTATACGCTTTGGTAATTTATAAATTATTACTATAATTATCCGTTATGATACCGTGTACAATGAATTACACCACTCGCTTATGTAAACCTTTCATAAGAAAGTTAATATCATCATTCTGATGGTCATCCTTTTAATTTCATTATGCATAACCTCGTAGGTGTATTTGAATAATATCGCAATTTTTCAAGATTTTACTCCCCAATTCGACAGACTGACTGCATGTTTATAGATGAGCTAAAGAGCTTACGATAAGGACGTAATGAGAGTTGAACACTTCCTTCCCTGCCCACAAAAAGTCCTGCAACGTCGCGTGTCAGCCACGTGGACACTGATCGTGCCGTCGAGATAGAATCTACAAAAGGAGATTATCTGTAGCTTTCAGTTCTCGTTCGATATTCTAAAAGGCCCCTGTTTTCGAATATTTAACATGCTAAGCCATTGCTAAAGAACAATTTTTACACAAGTCAAGTTGATGGAGTGAAAAGGGGAAAGCTTAACGCGTTTAAGTTCTTAAATTTAATTTTAGTCAATCATCTAACTTCAAGATGGTTTGAGGTAAAATTTAATTTCGCGCTCGTCGAATGTACAGGGAAGGAGACTTATCAGACTGAGAACAAGGGAATATCTCGCATTTTGTTTCTTACTGCATAATTCATTTAATTATTCCGGTGCACGAGTCAGTATCAGACTTCGGCTGCTATGGATTACAAGTTTGCTGCTTTATTGCATGAAGTGGCAAAACAACACATTGGCTGCTAATTCTATTTATTCCCGCTTGTTCCAAATTTCGGTCTTAATTTAATTTACTCTCTCTTTCGTTTAACCTCTGTCCATTGCTGTTCTCGGCACAAATGACTCGATACGAAGTTTTATGTTACGGTTTTGGTTAGTAGTTATACATATACAGTGTAATTCATTTTGCATGTCCAAGGTTATATTTCTTTGATTATTGGAGATAGAAAAAGAGTTTAAGAAGCAAAAATACTCCACTTTCAAATTCTGATAAAGCTACATATTAAAAAAAAGCATTAAGCTAGTAATATAAAACCAAAAGATAGACCAAAAGGCATCAGAAAATAAGTTAGTTTTTTAAAAATAGAACATTTATTTTTGCTGTAATATTCTTAGAAGTGAAAGCTATAGTCATGTGTATAGGACCAATCGCAGTAGCTGTGGAAATTTAAACAAAAACTTAAAATTTGCAACAGGAAGCGAAGAAAACAAATAAAAAGCAGTTAGCAATTAATTTGGTTCCTATGCATTATTATTACATCATTACATTACACCTCTTAACATTTTTTCATCGTCTGTGTAATTATTGCGTTGTGATTTTAGAAGTTATATTGTTCACTAATCTAATTTTGTAACAGACTTGACAAATGAAAAACTCTTTAGTGTTTGTTTAAATTTCCACAGTTACTGCGATTGGGTTTAAAAACATTACTGCAGTTTTAACCTCTAAGGTAATTATAACATATTTTATCATTGTAAATAGTACTTCAAGCTCTTTAAGCATACGTATCACTTGTTTTTTAGCATTGGAAATGCTTATGTTTTGTAGGGGTATGAATTTACCAGGTTTGCCGAGTAGAAAAGAAGACAAGTGGTGTCGCGTCTAGTGTTGAATGTACCGTACTCGATTGCAAATTAGTGGGAGCGGCTCGTGATAAATATTGGTATTATTCGGCGTTTCGTATTAAAATTGTGCCACTTGGAACACATGTTCCCTAGACCTATTGGAGTGATTTGAGTCGCAGAGCCGGAAGTTCCGTCCCATAGGATTGAAAATGGCGCCAATTTTTAAAATTTCAGGAAATATATGTTTTAAGAGCGATTTTTACGTTTGGGGTGACGTTTACGAGGTTTCCGACGGTGAATATGACAAAAATAATATCCAAAGATAATTTCTGTGTGGGAAGCATGTTTCATTTATCATATATAGGCCAATTGTATGATATCTTTAACGTCCGACAAGATTCAAAGGTTTTGACCGATTTTCGTAGTTGAGGTGGCGTTTCTGAGATTCTTTTGAGTGAAGATTACCAAAAAAGACCCATTAAATGCCTTTTTTATGAAATTTTTTGTATTTTGAATAAACAGATCGAGGTTAACTAAGTGCAAAACTGAAACTTATTCATTGAATCCTGTTTTTAACTAAAAATTGTTGATTATTGAAACGTATTTACAAGTAAAAAGTCATCAGTCATCAAAGGGAAATGCCTCATCATCGCTCAGATCTCCTGTTGCAGTCGAGCTATAAAAAATATTTAGTTAAAATCATTAAAATAAAATGTTGACAGTCATGTTTATAATAATACTCGGCTGCGATTTTTGCAGTGTTCTTGGCAGTTAGAACTGTGTAGGGCGCAGGGAAGACTGTTTCGTAAGTATGAGCACCTCATGGTCTCACAAGTTGACTTGCAGCCGCATTTTCCTACGATTGAGAACGCTTTCCCTTTTGATGGGATACAAGTTACGCAAGAAGAGGCGGACGGGCGAATCATCCTCCATGCGAAACATATGGTGGAGCATGGAGCCCAGAACATCCTCGTCCACTCTTGAGATACTGACGTTCTGATGGTCATATATATTTTGTTTTTTTTTCTGAAAGAACTCGGACTGAAAGAAGGATATCTGTCAGGTGTTGGGGCCAAGCGTCGATATATAGCGACCCATTTGATTGTATTAGCACTTGGAGAAGAAAATTCACAAGCCCTACGGGGCTTTCATTGTTACACACGTTGTGCCACAACGCCCTGCTTCAATTCAGTTGGAAACAAGAAGGCGTTTATGACATGGATGAAACGCCCGGACGTGACACCAGCTTTACTTGAACTCTCCAATTCACAAAGAGGAATAACAGAAAAAAACAATTAAAACTTTGGAAGAATTTACTACCGTTCTCTATGACCCCGAAGCACAGGAGAAATCCACTACTAATGTGGGAAAATATTTATTTTGTACCAAACATAAATTACTGCAGTTCCTGTCCCCAATCATGCAGGTCATGTGTTGTGGGGGCACTGCTTCTATCCTACTGAATGCCCTCCACATCCGTCAACTTGGGGATGGACACGAGGCAAAGTGGGCTGGGAACCAAACTGGACCAAATAGGTGTAAATATGAAAGGAGCTCACAATCCTAGGGAAATGCGGCTGTAAAGTGAACTTGTGAGATCATAAGGTCTTCATGCTTGCGAAACAGCCTTCCCTGCACCCTACAGTGTTCTAACTGTCAAGAACACTGCAAAAATCGGAGCCGAGTATATATGTACATGCTTATTTTATAAACATGACTGTCAGAGTTTTATTTTTAATGATCTTAACTAAATATTTTTTTATATCTCGACTGCAACAGGAGATCTACCTCGACCTGTTTATTCAAAATACTTAAAAATTCATAAAAAATAGCTATTTGTGTATTAAGAGCGCAAAATGATATATTGTCGATTGAAAGAGACATTTGCCGCGCTAATCTCTTGAAATCAACAATCAATTTGCGCTCGAATTACACACAAGATTTTTTCTACAATCGAGCAGTTCACATATTTCCAAAAATTTAAATTTTTCACTCAAATATAGATTATTATTTTAATCTTATGCCCAAATGAAAGATGTCATTTACTCGTTGTCATTGGATACTCTGAGCAATGCATATTTGATTTATAGTTTATAATTTGGAGAGCGAGCGTTTTTTTTATTTTGTCGCTTATAAGCGACAAATTGACATTCCTCGAAAAATTATGACGTTTGCGTTGTCAAATAGGAGCGCAAATGCCTACTTTGGATATCGATTGTAGAAAAAGGTCTTTAATGGGTCTTTTTTGGTAATCTTCACCCAAAAGAATCTCAAAAACGCCACCTCAACCACGAAAATCGGTCAAACTTTCCAAGAAACTTTCGAATCCTGTCGGACGTTAAAGATATCATAAAATCATGCTTCCCACACAGAAATTAGCTTCGGATATTGTTTTTGTCGTTTTCACCCTCGGAAACCTCGTAAACGTCACCCTAAACGTAAAAATCGCTCTAAAAACAGATATTTCCTGAAATTCGCCTCAATTTTGAAAATTGGCGCCATTTTCAATCCTAAGGGACGGAACTTCCTGCTCTGCGACTCAAATCACTCCAATAGGTCTAGGGATCATGTGTTCCAAGTGGCACAATTTTAATACGAAAGGCCGTTTGTTCTCACGGGCCGCTCCCACTACTACCTTAGAATCGTAAAAGTAATAATGACGTTCTCGAGGCGAATGACTAGATTAGATAATAATAATAATAATAATAATAATAATAATGACTTTTATTAGCTACTTACAACTGAATACATGCATACGATACAAAAGAAAACAAATATAATTCTGATAACAATCAGAATTCCGGTGCAGGGTAGGAGACCTCCTCTTCCAATCCATTTGACAGGAGATTATAATGTGGCGGAGCCCCATCTTGCTGAAACTGCAAATTTTATACGTCTAGTAGCATGTCTTCATTGTTTTCCACTCTCCAAAGAGTGTGATCTGTGGGGCTATCACTTCTTTCAATAGATTGTAATATAATTCCGCTGTTAAAACTTCTTGAATGCCCATTAGGCCATTACCGACCCAACAATTGGATTTCAAAGAATACCTACCCAAACAGTGATTGTTTGATTTTCTGTAAAGAGAATTTTATGGCCGTTAAAATGATGTGTCACTCGATGGGGGCTGCATATTATAATTTTAAATTTGTAGTAGTTGAGGGTGAATGCTAAAACTAAGGTCCACTAAATGTCTGGCAAGGTATATGGTTATACTAAAAGGAAGTGTTATTCCAATTTTGATTTTTTAGAAAAATTCAACACATTACAATATAAGGTGATTCGTTTTTGAAAGAAAGTCCTGTATAATGAATATTTCAAGAAGTGGTACACACTGACACCTTCAACGAGGGGTATTACCGTATTAATTTTTCAAAATACCTACCTAAATAGACCTCAAACCCACCGTTACTTCTACGACCCCACTTTTGTAATACACATTTTTAGGTCAACAATATCACAGTGAAGGTAATCGTGAAATTATGAAGCGATAACATTTTGTGAAATTGCTTGTATTGTGAATTGGGGACTTGTGACAAAAATGTTATGATAAGAAAATATGCGCTGAAATAAAGATAGTAAAACTATTTATGTAAGTTATTTGGAGCAGGTAAACTGAAGTAGGAGAAGAGTAACAAGAACAATGAAACTGACCTGACGCAACGGAGGAGTGGGCATGTCTCGAATAAAGATAATAGTCGGCTACGAACATAGTACGTGTCGCTACTCGCAAGTCGCAGATATTTATTATCTTACATCTTACTTCACGTTACATTTCAGCAACAGCGTTCGACTGGATAAGTGGTTTTTACGGTAGTAATCTGATCATCCAAAATGAACAGCTGTCGTACATTTTTGACCAAACAGGTTGGTACTTAAAGTGTAGCTATTATGGGTACGTTAAGTAAAACCCAAATAATGTACTACCTAGGTGCTGCCGACATTCTCCAAAAGTTACAAAAAAACTATCACGACTACTTCATCGAAGTTGCAGCAAACAGAAACCAGTGCAGCAACACAGGTCACGGACTCGCCCAAACCCCTAACATATTTAACGGAAGATGAACAGATGATGAAAGAAACAGGTACACTACAATTGCGTGTAATTTGTTTATAATACAGTGACATTTTAGTGAGAAGATTGGCTGTAGATCAAATCGGTCCACATGTCAGAGATATGGACAGGGATGGATTTATAAAGCAACCCATAATTGATATGCTATTTGAAAATGGGGTAAGTTGTTTTAATGTTTTGACACCTTGCTTCTACTACGCGGTTCCAACTCAAATAAGTATAACTCGTGTGTGGATAATTACATTGCGAATTATTTTGTAACTCGGATATCAGATTATCTCTTTAACTCACATGATTTTTCAATTGCGAACAGAAATGGAAATTATTATACACTTGTCGAATGGACAAGGATAATTACGACAAGGTCACTTATTTTGTTTGGATCTCATTAAATACGTCACGTCTAAACAACAAAACGCACTATTTGTTAACTTTCCATATCCCCAAATAATAAATAAATAACTATGCACTATATACTATAATTAATTATTTTGACCAGTAGGTACTATAGGCATGCTATAGTGTCCATTGCAGGCTAGTAGTCTGTAGACATTTTCTATAAGGGTAGGTATAGCTAGACAAACCAGTATTGGACAAGCAACTTTAAACAGTTTAGGTATTTATAGAACCATCTAACAGCATTCACATGTCCACTCGCCAGATACCTATAATTACTTTATAATAAATGTGTCTTATTATTCAAGGTGAGATAAGCATAAACAGTTTTTTTCTTCTCTCGTCTCGTTTTGATTGTATAGGTATACAAGGGATGCGCGATTATAAATCCCAAATTAGATTTGGTATTTACTAATTATATAATAATAATATATTGATAATCATCAATTGATTGACTCTTGCCAGGATCCTACATCTTTCGTCTTGTTGATACCATATACAGGGACGGATTAATAGAAATATGTGGGTGGGGGCGGAATCCCGGAAAGGGAGGGAAAAGATGAGGGGGGTCCGGGTCCTCCCCCGGAAATTTTTTGAAAAAATACCTTAAAAAGTATAAGATTTAGTGGTTCTAGACCGACAATTTATATGTAAAGAAATATTAGCTTGAACTACTGGAAATGCAAATATTTCAAAGAAAAACAATATTTTGCCGATCGCAGTCATTTATAAAAAATCAAGTAATTATACCTGTTTGGGAAAATTATATCGCAAAATGCAGGGAATGAAACATACAACTCTGGAATTATGAATCAATACTACATAAATACTAAAGCCCTTTTTATCAATTAAATATGCACATTTTAAACATAAGTACCTACTATTTAATTTTTTTCGTTTCATTTATTTAAAAGAACATTTATTAGAAACTCATACTAAAATTGAATGAGCAAGGTACATTTTTGGTGAAAATAAAATATTGCCTTGTTAAAAAAACTGGCAAACGCAGACGAGTAAGTACTTTTTGAACTCGAAAAACACTGGTTGAAACCTACAAAATAACACTGACCAACTCCGCTGAATTGGGTACGCATTTTTGTGTCATTTTGTTCCACAACTTCTATAAAGGACAATAAGCGGAAACCTAGCATCGGCTGGTTTATGAAATCATGTACTTTTGGTTCGTTCATCCGGGAATGTTAGCGCGATAACTCGAGAACGGCGAAAGATGTAGTTTTGTTTTTGACCGTCTAAGCGCCCGAGACATCAATTTGGTATATGATTTTGAAAACAATAAACATTTTTGGATGCAGAATGAGGAGACGAAACGATATAGCACAAGCCCATACTTTCCATTAAAAATTTAGGGGTTGTAACTATCACTCGAAGGGGGTTGAAGGTAGGATCACACTTTCACGTTTTTATAATTTAAATTTGAGTTTCGGGATTCTTGTAAATATGTACAGTAGCCCAAATAATGAATGTATTCCATTTGGCTCTTCCACACTGTATAACAAACAAAAACCTTCTAGAAATTTCTAAAATCAGCATGTCATATTTCGTGGAAAGAATGCGTCATATCCGCTATCATTCCCTATTGCCTATGACCTTTATCGACTTGATGGTGACTTGACGCCGCCTTGATACCGTTCTAGAAAGTTCGCTACAATAGTAGATAGCATGGTCTTGTCTAGATATAAAAATTCATGATAATAATGGTTATCATTTATAAAAGGTTGAAGGTAAACCTTTTATGCCGTCAATGAGTTTTTTTTTGTAGAAAATGTAGTCCTCTACAAGTACAACTTATCTTTTAACAATTTCTTCCTATCAATTTCAGTTTGCCTATAACGATGCGCGTAATTTGCGTAAGAAACTCCACTAGCGGAAGCGTTTCATTTCTTTCTTATATTGCATCGACCATGATATTTCTTTACAATTTAACCAACAGTTCATACACCCCTTTATGTTATACCCTGCTTGAAACTGACCGAGGTTAAAAAATTATTAAACTTGACCCATAGCCATGATCAATTGATTTATTGAACATTTTTCTTTCCAGATTCCTTAAATTTGACTTCAATAGGTATTTTTTTAATAAATCCGAGAAAACTGCTTTAAATGCATTTAAACATCAATCAAGTTAAAATTATGATGAGATATAATAAAAAAATAATGGTACCTTTAAATACGACGGCCCTTTTGCAAGTGACTATGTTGATACAGAAATGTGGTTTGGACACAATCTTCCTTCAGTGACAATGGGTTAACAAAGGTAGACGACGAATCGTGCACATTGGAATTTCGCCGATGCGATGCGACGGTAACACGAAACTTCTTTGAATTTTCAAATGATGTAAATTTCTGGGAACCCTGTCATTACTGATGCACAGCACCATTTTGTGACTATCGAGTTTAACCCCTGTTCAGGTTTACGGTAGTAAACATTTACACAGCAGTTTTAACAACGGGTCTTTGTGGAAACTAAATATGCTAGCACGCCTACTTAAATTGTACCTACTTGATCGAATACAACAGTAAAAAAGTCTAGGGTACGAACAGAGTGGAGGCAGGTTTCTCGCTTACCGGTTACCAGCGTCGACTCGCGCTTCTCGCTTTGGAAATAGAATGTTTTCAAATTAGCGTGAACGTAGTCAAGGCAGGTTAAAACTTGTCGGCGCCGGTCGCCTGCGTCCACGCTTTTGTCGGAATAAAAATTTAGTTTTTTCTGCCGCTTCTCGCGCGAGTTTCGGATAAAGAAGCTCTTATAAAGACAGTGTTTGAGAAAACCTCTATAAGCGATAATCGAACCCACAACCTCCCGAATAGCAGTCGGGAACGCAACCACTGCGCCACCGGCTTCGCTTTTTCTCGCTTTTATTGTGTGCAGTCACAGCGCGAAAAACCTGCTCCTATCGGCGCGAGATACCGGAAAGCGAGAAACCTGCTTCCACTCTGTTTGTACACTTACGCGACGTACGTCCTTGTAAATTGAATAATAATCCGCATTTTTGCTACCTTCAATTTTTTTCCTTTTTTAACAATAACTACCGGACCTCACGTTGTTATATTTTACGTCCCAAACACAGACGTTGGCCATGACGGGTGTCCAAAACTCGAATCTGGTTGAAATTTTATTACATTTCTATGTTTGTTTGTTGACGTGTAAATTTGTTGTTTATACATTTGTTATTTAATAATATTATATAATTTATTCCCCATAAAACAAAATCAAAACTCTACAAATAACACAAATAAAAACAGGGAAAGGGACTGCTTTCAGTGCCGTGAGACCCTGTTCCTCCATACAGCCCCAATCCAACGTATTATTAAATTTAAAAAATTATTATTCTAATAAATAAATGCACGATCACTAACAACACTAAATTATTACCAACCTCAAAAGTTTCATCTACTCTCTCGCACTTTATTGTAGCTTACCCTGCTCACTGCTGCAGTAGTAATCTTACTTGCACTTTGAAGCCATGAACCGAAAGAGTTTTAATAAATACAATATACAATAAAATTACAAATAAAAATGATATGATTAATGGACCCGCACTATATTCTGTTCACCCAACAGATACAGTTAAGCCACTCCCAATAAATTTTGGCCAATGTAATAACAGACCCGTTTCACAGTCACAAAATTATAAAAACCGGGAAATTTAAAATCGCATGTCACATTGTATGACTAAGTTATAAAGTGTTATGTTTTGAATATTGACCTATATAGTTTCAAATTGTTTATTAAGTTCAAAAAGAATAGTTTGTTCGTATAAATAAATTAACGGCAGATTGAGGCAAGGCAAATACGAAACGCAATGACAGGTTTGATGTTAAGGATGTCAATTTAGATACGGCAATTATAATTGGAAGCAAATTGTTGCGTGTTACAGGTTTTGAAAATTCGGCCAATTAAAAATGTTCATTTAAATTTGCCGGGAATTTTTTTGGAGGAGCTTAACATTTTCAAGGGCGACCAGAATCGTTCCAGTTACGATGTTATAACTAACAATATGTACAAGTATAAATATAGGCAGTGCCGCGTTTTCGCCTAGGCACAGTAGGCATGAGCCTAGGGCCCGTTGAAATTGGGGGCCTGCGAAGTTGCATACATCTTTGATAGTTGACGATATTCATATTGCAAAGAAAGTTACGTGTTCGTCTTAAAATTAAAACATGAAGAGGTTTTAGAGGTATTGCAATTTCCAAGTATCCAGTATCATGTTTAATGTCTTTCGCTTAAACACGGTAATATACTAGTGATTAAGAGTACACAGATCAGGTCACAGCTGACACAGCAGCAAACATCTGTAAGGTACTCTAACTGCGAGTTGCGACAGTGAATTTCGAAGTCGATTAGGTAGTCTAAGTTGATACGACATAATACGAATTGTAAAGAGAAAAGCGTTGATGCGTTCTGTTATTAAGGTGCGTTTTCACGCTCATGCAATTTGCGCAAATTGACTTGTGCATGCCAATTTGGGCAAATTCAGTGAACTCATGCATCCATTTTCACGGTTCAAGTTTGGTGCACAAATTTGTCTACAGTACAGTTCAGATTCTCATTGTAAACGATGGAGTACGAAGAGGAACATTATAGCTGGTGTTTGTATAATTAAAAATTATCAAAGTCCTCGTTTGAGATCGAAGGGACTTCAGCGCATTTTTGTGTGGCAGATCAGTATTCTATTAGCCACTTTCGACTCAACCATCAATAACAGATCTACATTCACTAACCGCTTCCACTTTCCGCGTGCACCCGCAATTCGCTTTTAAAGTTTTGACTCCACCATCAGTAAGATCGTGTCGGGGGCTACCACATTCCCTTTGACGGTACCCCCTTCCGACGTCCCGTTCACCCGCAATTCGCGTTTGAAGATTTGACTCCACCATCAGTAAGATCGTGTCGCGGACTACCACATTCTCTTTGACGGTACCCACTTCCGACGTCCCGTTCAGCCGCAATTCGCGATTGAAGATTTGACTCCACTATCAGGAAGATCGTGTCGGGGGCTACCACATTCCCTTTGGCGTCGCGGTTGAAGATTTGACTACACCATCAGTAAGATCGTGTCGCGGGCTACCACATTCCCTTTGACGGTACCCACTTCCGACGTCCCGTTCACTCGCAATTCACTTCTATTGGCGGCACGAGAAAGAGAGACAGCGATTCGAGATTTACGAAACATTAAACCGCGTGAGTTCGCAACGGAAGGTAAAAGGCGCCCGAAGTTGACTACTTCTCGAAGACGCGCGCGCGCGCCTCGCAGAAGGTCGTTAATTTCGCCCCTATGACAAAAAACAAAATTCCGCCACGCAGGAGTTGTGCGCGTTTACAACATCTTTCCGACGACACCAATTTGAAAAGAATCGGACCAAAACTGTAGTAGAAGATAGGAAAAAAACTGAAAAACCTTCACGTTAGTATACTACGCTCGAGGATGACGCCCAGATGTCGCCAACCCCACATCATGTAGCCATGTCCCTAAGGTTGACAAATTTCACGGCCCCGTAGATACACGTACACCCGTTGCCTTTCTACAAGAGTTCTTCTACGCGCCCACATTTGCTGCCAGCCAGCCAGCCGGCCAAAGTGAGATTAAAAGCTACTTTTTACAAATAAATTTGCAAAAATGCGCTAAAAAGTTAAAAGTGCTAAAAGACAAAAAAAGAAGATCGCAGAAGCCAAATTTTCTGGCTTGTGCAAGTTAAACAATTTTCGTTTTCATGCATCAATTTACTTGTACAAATTGGCATGCACAAGTCAATTTGCGCAAATTGCATGTGCGTGAAAACGCACCTTTACACATTATACAACGTTTATTTTATTATTATTATTATTTCGTTTAAATAAAATTTTTAAATTTTTTTTAACAATTTCGTTACCTGTTTTTTTGATACTCTATACACATTAGGTACCGATTACAGTATACATAGCAAAAAAACAAACTACATCAGTATTTTAAGTTCGCCTTTGTCAATTTTGCACAGAACATCTTTTTCACACCACATACTTTGAAATCCACTCACGTCCTTTTTTCCCAAAAACCAACCATATTCAGTTTTCAGTCGATAGCTGATTCTGCTGATGTACTCGGTTTTATAGTCAGTCACCTTTCTTCCTCGCATTGCGTCAGTTGAAGATAGATAAATTGTGCTCTTTGCCATTGTTAGTAGGTAATTCGCAATATGATGCTGAGGAAGACTGAGGAGTGTGCATGTCAACATGTAACCTTATGTGTGGACTTTTCCACATCGTAGGTATTTGCTTTAAAGTGAAAATATGCTCGCAGGGTTAGTCGCTTAGCAAATTTGCCAGCGGTTTATTGATATGTCGCGCTCCTCATAAAAATCATTTACAGTAGGAAACAGTTGAAGAAATCATGATCGTAAACCCTTTCGAGGAAGATATTACTATACATTTTCTAAAGTCAAAACAGTTATATAATTTACTGGATGATAATGGTCTCCATCTAAGTTATACGGCTTTCTGCATCCTCAGAGGACACCTATGAATACTGAAGTAAACAAGTATAAATTGTGCACAGGTCTTGTGCAGATAAAGCGCATTTTTTTAAACCAAAATAGCTTTTGTTTTGCCATTACCAATGGATATATTTCTTGCAGACGTTTCAATCGTCCTTTGTGAGTACCCTCTTCCGACAATCCGTTCTTGAGGTATAAGGGAATATATCCCATCACGATAAGAGGTCGAGGACGAGGGCTATGGTTGGTAGAAATTAATTCCTTTCGTTGAGACCTTTCATTAGAGTACCATGAAAGATAAAATTAACCAATTTATTTCGATGAGAGAGACCTGTCAAGGACTCTGGGAGGACCATTCCCCTAGAAGTAGTTCAAAACGGCAGAAGTGGGTCCGGACGGACGGACGAACAAACCGCAAACAATAGCACATTTTTTTTAATTCTTAAAAAATGCGCTAAAAATAAGTAATCGTAATTGAACAAAACCCAAAGTTTTGGCTGAAGTTCCCTATTGAGATCGTGCCAAATGCGTAACGAATTTCGTTCAAATTTGTAACTGTCGATACACCATAGTGAGTCACTATTATAACACACACCTCTCAATCTAGGTCAAGACTTTGAACTAAAGTGCGCAAAAAAAGAGATTAAATATAGGTAATCAGAATATATTCCAAATGATGTTAAATTTAACTTAGTTGTTGTAAGATAAGCTATCGTAATCGTCAAATGTTGCGACATTAATTGGTGTCTACGTAAATTTCATAAGAAACTAGCGTGATCCTGTCGTAAAATTGATAACGGAATTTAGATAATAAAAGGAAAAATGTTTCAAAACCCACTCATGGGTGTTGCCGCGTAATACAACTGTAAATGATGAGCAAGGGCAAATATAGACCATAGCAGCCATCAATTAGCGAAAACCCGAAGTCTCTAGGTGGCCCAGGGGCCGAGATCTCGATCGAACAGACAGACAGACTGGCGACGGAAAATCTAGCACATATAAATAGGGTTATCTCAACTTCGTTGTGTTACGCTACAAAATTTCTAAAGAGAACATAGAGTGTAAAATACAGTTTATCCGTAATCAATGTGGCATCTAATGAAATGGCGTCTCCCTATAAATACTCCTCTAAAAATTTGCAAACATATCAACATAACATAATTACCAAAACAAATGTAAATAGTCTTATCGCAAATAGATATTCAAATTTCGTTCATAGTTCGCCGCTGTGACGTACCTACCTAAGTAATTAGGTACTTCTCATCTACACGAGGCAACGACAACGTCAGTAAATTATACAATTTTGTGTCAGCATCTTAAACATGAAGATTATCCCGGCTGGTTCTTAATGCCCACCTAATACTGTATTTTTAATTTTTTTACGCATTTTCATAAATAAGAATGCATTGTTGTGGTCACCTTGTCCATCTCCCCATCTTTTGACCCAAATGTGCCCAAAAACAGGGGCGGACTGGGTACTTACGGGCCAGGTGGAATTGCATTACGGGCCATTACAGTATTAGTGCAATGACGATGGGGGGGGTTAAAACATTTTGCATCATTTTAAAGTACCTATTCCTTTCTCGAAAATCAATTAGAAGCCCATAACTGTGTTTCAGCACTTTCAAAATACGACAAAAAAAGATACATTCATTGTAAAACACTTACCTAGATAAAAACAGAATTTTATAATGAACAACCTAACTTCAATCCCAATGAGAGAAACGTGTTGATAATTTATTAATAGTGCAAGAAACATTAATGCTGTCTAATTCAGCACATACTAATACTCGTTCCAACGCGTCATTGTGACCTACAGGCCAGGTGGTAATAGCCCCCCCCCCCCCCCCCCCTAAGCTATTTATTCTAAAGACTGTCGACTTACTTGTTTCGCAATTGTTTCAGAAGTTATGACAAAAACAGCAATTCGGACTGCGTGCAGAAACTACCCCAATTTCATCTATACGAATAAGGTTTCCACGTTTTCTTATAAAAATATTGTAGAAGCTATATTTGACAAAAAGCAAAACAAAAATATTCGATATAGTGTTACGTTCTCACTTTTCGGTTGGTCTACCGGTTAACGCTGCATATTTGATTCCGTTACGTCGTCGCCCAAAAGACTTCGTACCTAATTGTTATTTATGCTTCAGTTTTGTTTGGAAAAAGATCTAGTGACCTCTAGTAATTTTGGCGTAGCTTGTATCTCAATATCAAATCATGCGTATTAAAGATTCTATAATTTCAGTTGATGGGAATTGAAATAGAGTCCGAATATGGAGGTTCCGAGTGTGGTTTTATGACAACTATATTAACGGTTGAAGAATTATCGAAAGTCGATCCAGCAACAGCAGTTTTGGTCGACTTGCATAACACGTTGATCATCAACGCGATCAGCAAATATGCAAACAAAGAGCAGAAGGCCCAATACTTGCCCCGAATGGTAACAGACACGGTAAGAAACAAAATTATTTAAGAATTATAAAAAAACTTGATGCTATTATTTTTTATAGATTGGCAGTTTTGCGTTAAGTGAACCATCATCCGGATCTGATGCGTTTGCTTTAAAAACAACTGCCAAAAAAGACGGCAGTGACTATATCCTCAATGGTTCGAAAATGTGGATCTCAAATTCGGATGTTGCCGGAGTATTTTTGATAATGGCCAACGCAAATCCATCCGCAGTAAGTTAAGTAATTAGAGTCGTACATACCTATACCATCACTTCTTGACAGGGATATAAGGGAATCACATGTTTCATCGTTGACCGTGATACACCTGGATTTACAATTGCAAAACCTGAGAACAAACTGGGAATTTGCGCATCTGGTACATGCATGTTAACTTTTGACAACTGCAGGGTACCCGAAACTGCTATTATGGGTAAACTTGGAGAGGGATACAAAATCGCTGCCAGATTTTTAAATGAAGGGCGTATCGGTATTGCCGCTCAGATGGTTGGAGCCGCTCAAGGGTGTTTTGATGCAACTATTCCATATACTCTTGAACGAACACAATTTGGAAAACCCATCTATAGCAATCAGGCGAGTGTTTAATTTGATATAATAAAAGAAGTCATTAATTGTATCTTCTACAGGGAATGCAATATCAGATTGCGGAGATTGCTTCAAAAATAGAAGCGGCGCGCCTTCTAACGTACAATGCTGCCAGATTGCTAGAATGTGGCGCCCCCGTTGCCAAGGAAGCCTCAATGGCCAAGTACATTGCCTGTGAAGTGGCACAGCAAGCAACAATTAAGTGTATTGATTGGATGGGCGGTGTCGGATTTACTAAGGATTTCATTCAAGAAAAGTTTTACCGTGATGTCAAAATTGGTAGCATTTACGAAGGTACCAGTAATATGCAACTGAGCACAATTGCCAAACATATTGAAAAGGAATATAAGAAATAAGTCGTACAGTGTAACATACACGCAAAGGCTATGTGATTTTATTTACTTCTATAATTTTCAAATATGAAATTTTATTGTACTAGATAGTGTCTTTATACTACCTACAAACTGATGCTGTATGAACCAATTTAATTATATATTATTTATATGTACCTACTATATACCTAAACTTAAAATAAATTCCTAAATACCTTTTGTTGCAAGTGAGAAAAGAAAGCAAATAGAACGACATTAAGAAAGGAATGAATGCTACTTAAAATAAGTACCTACGTTCCAAGTCAGTAATAAAATAAAAACGCAAGTTTGATACGCCACTGGAATACAGCACGCTCCTGGTGATCAAAAATATTCTAGAAATGTGGCGACGGTAAATGTGTACAATTTTGCTTTAAGACTTTTCGGTATCTTTTATGGTAAAGGAATTATGATCCAGGAGTCTTAGGTGCTACACCCTGTATAAACCTTATATATAAAAGAAATAAAGACCTGTTATGTATTTAATTTGGGTAGATTTATGACCAAGAAAAATTGCTAACCTTGTACTTAGTTAAAGCGCCAATATTAAATATATCATCAAAATCGATACGTTTCCTGAATTACAGCTTTAAATCAGTATGTGCGGTCAAATGCAGGTCGTCTGCTTTATTTATGATGCAAGCGTTATAGGTTACACTTTAAATAAAATAAACAATTCCATGTAATCTGAAAATTCTAATCTAAATCAATATAATTGAACTAATATTCTAATGTAAAATTGAATTATAATGTACCCCAAAATCTTACGGGCAAACTAGTAGATAACGAATTGTTCAGAGAACCGCAACCTTAGTTCAGTTTATTAAATATACATAGAATGTATTATTATACGGCAATTGATGCAACTTTTGTTTTTCAAATCCAATGTCTGTGTTTTTTGCGATATTTGAAAAGGGGAATCAATTTGCTGTAAGACAACATAAAATATGCATATGGCTGATATAAAAGAAATAGAGAAATTCGTTATTCGATATTTAGAAAACTTATGAAATCTAGCATGCCGTGCGCTGTCAGGATGCGCGGTGGCCGGTGCCTGTTGCATTACATGGGGAGATCGTATTGCGCAAAAGTAAAGCTTCAAAACGAAACATTGAACAACTTATTGTAGGTATTTTCTGTATGATATGGCACATGAAATGCTAGATTATATAAATTTTCTAAATATTGCATGACGAATAGTAGGTAAGTAGTAGTGGTTTGTGAAATAGTTACTATGGTTTTTATGTTCAATAATAATAAATCTGTATCTGTCATATATAAAAAGAGGTGTATGTTCTTTCCAATTCGAAGTACCTATATGTTACTACAAATACTCATCGCTATAGAAAGTCACTTCGGCTATAGAATTCCCAAAGTAATTAACTTAAGGGTTCCAAATTTTCAGGATTATAACTGATTAGCAATTACTTCATATTTATATGTACCCATCAAAAATCTTAAAAAGAAACTCGACTAAATTGCAAATGGATTTTTTTTTTCAATTTTGAAAATCTAATTGCAGATTCGAACATTTTTATGTTGACCATATTTTTTTGCTCGCTCCCGCTTGCAGAGGGTACGCCATCTTGCAATGTTGAAAACCAGACCAGAGAAAAAATAAAATGAAAAAAGAAAAGCAATTTAGGGACTTTTATAGCTTCCAAACGAAACATTTGCGACGGTCGGTTTATTTTAAGTGTTTTCGTCGCCTCTACATCCGCATTTTTTAGCAGAACTCGCAGGTACCTACAGTCTGAAAGACGGTTAAATTGACAAAATGGTGTCTTTTTTTTCTACTGAATCCAAATATGCAATTAATTAACTACAACGCATTTTTCGACAACAAAAATGTGACTTTTTAAAAATATGGAACACCCTGTATATTGATGCGCCATTGTCCGAATACTTCAAATCTCAGAGTAAGAATTATTTCTTACTCTGAGCTTCAAATCACCATCTCACTACATTGTGGTGTTTTGGCTATGGTAGATCGAAACGGGATGGATGGGAGACCATAAACCAGTCCCATGAAATATACTTGACTATCGGCCCACTTTAGCGGGTGGGGGAGGGGGTACTCAATGCACCCTAATTGCAAACATGAATGCTTTTTGATAATTATTTCCCAACAACATAAATGCTTTTAGATTATTGTTACACAATCTGTTCCTTAATCGCAATTATACATTTCAGAATTGCGAAAGAATAAGAATCAATTAATTAATGTATAAGTCTAATCATTGATTAATTTATAACAGTAATTATAAGAGCGAACTATTCATTACTACGGCGTTGAAATTGGAACTGATTGAAACGCAATTCGATTTGCTTATATAGCAAACGCCGGTCTTTCTGGACGCTTCCGGGTATTCTAGAATGTTCTTTAACAAACACGTCGTATTTCCCGAAAAGATTGCGTCACATCTGTCTTCGTTCTTTATCGCCGATTCTTCTTCTTTCTTGGCGCCTAGGAATTTCTGGAATATTCGCAAAAATGTTTCTTGATATAAATTCCACTAGTAATCGCACTATAGCAGCATCGAAAACAGTTTTGACAACTACCTACCACAAACGGCATTTAAAAAAAAATCATCTCCATTTTGTTTTTCATCTGCATCGTTCGGAAGCAATGCGGTGGGCGGTCGACAATTTTTATACATTTTTTTAAGAAATCTCAATTGTGGTTGCCCCCGACAGGATCTTAAAATTTCTTCTCGTAATCGAACAGATTTGGCATTTTTCCCAACGTTTTTCCAGTAGATTATTAGGCAATACTTCATTTTTAATATCAGGGAAATTATGTGAATTTAAAAAGGAAAGATCCATACAGAAATCTGTATACTTTGTGAAAATCTACCTTTAATCGATTCAATGGCTTGATTTTAAAAGCCTTAACATAGAAATTCTCAATTTGCTTCCAATTTACTCATTTAAATATCCTTATTAGTTATTTCATTTTTAGCGCATCTAAAAGGTTTTAACCTCACTTGAGCCGACTGGCTAGCTGGCTGGCAGCAAATGCGGGTCTGTAGAAAAACGGTTGGAGGAAGACAAGGAGTGCTACCGGCGCCGTCGTGTAATTAACAAGTTACTACATGTTGCGGTTGGCGACATCTGGGAGCCATCCCGAAGCGTGTTGTACTAACGTGGTTATTTTTCTTTCTTCTACAGTTTTGGTCCGATTGTGCTCACCTAAAAGTTTCCTAAGTGCTCGGATCGCGACCTCTCTTACTCGTGTCGCCAATAGAAGCTGGAGCTATGAGAAGTGCCCCTAAAACTGAGTACTATTTTGTGGAGGGTTTTTAGCAAAATCCGCCAAATTGCGAATTGCGGGAGGGAGGAGGTGGGTACCGACAAAGGGAATGTGGTTCAACAAGATTTTATTGATGGACACAAGCATTTTTTATTTGTACCGTCACCTTCGAATATTAATTAAATTAATTCCTTGCATGTGGCGGCGTAGCCTGGCTCTATCTCTGTTTTGTGTGTTCATTTGAGTGATGCTACCAGCCGCAAAGCGCTCATCGATCCTACCAACCCACCGGGAAAGTTCCCGGTATCCCGCCAGCCCCATCCACCTCTGGATCAAAATGAAAAATCTTGGTTATTTGAAGTATTTTAACTATGGTGCATTAAGAACTTTTGTAGGGGATTTAATAATTAAATAGAATAAAATTTAACACATATACGAGCCCTAACACATAAATGTTCGGACACTCAAAGTTTTAAAAATGTTGTAACTTACCTAAAATCATTGTATGTTTATTTATTTTTTTTTCTTACTATAGTTATTAAGTAAACATATTTAGTAACTGTAATTTTATATAACTGTATTTATGTAACTTTTGATATAACTGTCAAATAACACAAAACACCATAAAATTAGAATTTAAAGTGACACAGAAATGTTCGGACCCACCCAATGAGTTACATCCCCTTTGGCTTTAATAACAGCTTGGATTCGTGTAGGCATGGTCGTCACAAGAGCTTTACATTGATCGATACCAAAGGTATCCCAAATCTCTTGTAACTTTTCACTCAAAGAAGCAATATTGCGTTGCGGATGAATACGTAAACGTTGCTTCATTTTGTCACACTGTCTCAATGACATTGAGATCTGGACTGCTTAAGGGCACCTCTAAAACACTATTATTGTGGTCTTGTAACCATTTCTTAGTCGTTTTTTCCTGTGACATGATGCTCCGTCTTGTTGAAAAACAAAGTCTGCATCAGGTGATAATGTCGCAAGTGAAGGCAATCAACTTTGTTCTAAAATTGCTTGATATTTCTGAGCATAAACATTACCATTTGTAAGTGCAATTGTCCCAGCCCATTTGCAGACATACTGTCCCACACCGTTATACCACTGGAGAATTTTACAGAACGCTTTAAGCAATCTTTGTGACATGCTTTGTTTTCCGTTCTGATAACTCTTTCTCGATTATCGCCTACATTGATATCAAATCGAGATTCAATAATTTTTTTCCAGTCTTGGTAAGACCACGCCTGCCGTTCCCGAACCCAGGCCAACCTCTTCTTTATTATTTTTGTGTTTTAAAGATGTTTTTCTTTCGCCTATTTAAAAAAGTATTTTCTAATGCTCAATAATTTTAACCTAAAGATCCACTTACTTTATAAAAATGTAAACCTGATT